CTTTGTGAAGAGGAAAGGTCTGTATACCCAGTCCCTGGCATTCATGACATTCACTTATGAGTGACAGTCAAGCATCCAAACACATCAACATTAAAGTGCAGTTTTTGGGGGTCTACACAAGTAAAACTGTTTTGGTGATCATTAGAATACTATGCATTATGCCTTTCAGTCCAACTATGTGCCAAATCAATTTCATGCATTGTAAGAAAGTTTTTTTTTTTAACATAACAGTCCTGTCTGGGGGATTTTCCACCACTAATTGCCACTGCATTTATTTTTTTTCCTCAATAACAATGTGAAACAACACGAATAAGCTGCTGATCCAACATGCCCACCCAGACTGTCCTCAGCAGCTTGGGACTGTCGTGACGGACAGTTTGAGATCAGAGGAAGAGAACCCCTTCTGCCTCTGCAGCAATGTAGGAGAAAAGTGGAGTAAGAAGATAGGAAAGGTTACAAATGACAGAAGGCCATTCAGCCCATCTGGTGTGAATCTGGGATGGGTTTAGCAGTCAGTAGCTTATTGATCCAAGGATCTCATCTGGCAAAAGTATCGGCTTCAACCACATAGCTGGGAAAACTGTTCCATTGTCCCAGAAACCTTGGGGTAAAGACACACCTCCTTTTGAAATGCACATCCATGTAGCTTCCACGATTTGTAGTTCATAGACTTTGTCAATGACTTAGAGGAGCCCGATAAGAACATGGAGTTCTTACAGGTGTGACAGAAGGGTGTAAGAAATCAGTGGGTCCAAATGAAGTGAGAGATGGGAGACCTGCAGTAAAACATCTGTCTTTTACCCAAGTGAGATGTAAAATGAGGGATCCATTCTCCTCCATGGGCTTTAAAGATCTCATGGCATCTACTGGAGAACAAAAAATACGCTGAAGTGCATTTTGGGTGATTTACCTATAAATGTAAAAAGTATGCCCATACAACACTCTGACCCACCGTCGCTGTCGACTCTGTTTGTGAACAAAGCTTAAAAGCGTTTCTAAGGTAACCCATCACTAGTGTGGGAAACTTCAGCCTCCTGTAACTATAAATCTTGACAAGCGGTGTCTTTTGGCAGAACTATCAGGGATGAATGTCTTTAAATAAACAAATAAATCATAAAGCCTACATGCTAAACACAGCTCAAGGACAGTCTCTTGAAAAACTGCTCGCTCAGCAAAACAACGGCTATTTATGCCACGACACTGCTAGAAGGATTTGCCTTTAACACACATCCTGGGAAAATAGGCAACATCCTGAAAAAACAAGTGTTTATCCACAGCTCCCTACACATATATATTTTAGAAATATATGTAAGAGATGGATCTGGTCAAAGCTAAGCATGGTTGCCATTATGTATAAACATCCCTGCATTCCATCTAAGAATATACAGTAAACAGCACTCTTCAAATCAGTCACCTTTGTAAACTGAACCCCAAAAAAACATTCCTTGATGGAGTACTGCTTCTTCGATGAAGCCTGTAATAAAACAAAACAACTTAAACATCTCTTGAGATAACATAAGCCTTAATACACCGTGGCACTTATTCCACTATTATCTTGTAGGACGCGTTTTTTTTTTCCGTTTCTCACTCACGTCTGACCTTCACAATAACAGTGCAAAGTGTCAGTGCAAGTAAAAATGTGTCTTCCTGCCACCATCACAGCACAACTGTGTCCGCGGCAGAGACAAAGCGATGATTGAAAACACAAAAATTACTAAATCGGTGAGACACTTCTAGTCCTCTTTAATACCTCAGTCGTTAACCGGCACCGTATTCCAGCGTTCTCTGATTAAACATAACAAATCCCAGCTTGAACACAATCATTCTCTGGAAAATTACAGGGGAGACTTAGGAATGGGGATATCTTTTTAATAAGTCCCATTACAACTGTTGGCTATACAACTATAAGATCTAATATCCTTTCTCGTGGCTCAATGATATGTCCATGCATTACTGTTCTTGCTGACAGTCTGTTGCCTTGGAAATATTTCATTATTTCAGTTTTTTCCATTTGTAGACCCCTGGCCTTGCGATATGAAGGCCACTCTCTATTTCATATTTTTCGATTACCATTTTAGCAATCTCCGAGAACTACTTATATAAAAAAGAAAGTGTTGTTAGACAATGAACAGAACCATTAATCTCTGCGATTTCTGCCCTGTGTTGCAAACCCAGCTACCATCTATAAACTGCACTGGGGCTTTCTCATCTCAAAAGATGTGAAGGGCTCCTAACCTTTAAAAGAGATACACAGAATAAATTAAAGACTACACACTGAATTTTAAAAATCCTAAACATTGACTTTAAATGTGTTATGGATTTTCATCAACTCATAAAAAAACATATGATAGCTGAAAACTCAGAAGCCAGGTTACTGACATTAGTATATTAAATATCTTAAGGTACTGTATACACTAAACAAAGCAACTAGTTTTAATATGCCTAAAAGTAGCTAGATATTTAATAATGATGATTTTTCACCCAGGGGTACTGGGCTTTGACTAATTTAAACCACAATATCAAAAGCAGGCTCTCACTTACTTGCTTTAGCAAACAAGGTTTCATGTAGCCCGCAGCTATATTGGAAGGCAGAAAGGTGGTGGAATGCAGGAATACTTCAGCATTAAATCAAAAGATCAGGCAGAACCACACATATTAGATGCTTCACAGGAACTGGATTACTCGTCAGGAAAGATGTAAAAGCTGTAAATACAATTTTAATTCCGTCTGCAGCACATCCTTGACGCACAGTTTTTGAAGCTTAAAGTGCAGTTGTAAATATAAGCAAATTAACTTTGGAGCATGCTTAATAGACACACACAGACATTCTGCAGAATATACTGTTCATTCCTAACATCCTTCTATAAATCCTTTAAACTAATATAAAAGGAAATAGGGCTATTTGGCACTTTTGTGTGCCCTTAGGGTACAAAACAGCTACTGAAACAAAAGGCCAACTTTGTGGTTACCCAGGGCTCTGTGAATCTCAGCCAGCCCCATTCCTCTTCTGAAGATTACTCCTCCTACTTCCCACAGAGCACTATTAGTCAGATCCAACCTTTAGGACAGCAGTGTCTGCGCCAAACAAGAAGATGCTATTAAGGAGCATTAAATTAAATATATCCTCCTACAACTTCAATCAGAATTTCAGACCAAGTGTTATTTAGTTCAACTCTCAAGTGGAGCAGAATAACAAATCACACACTCTGATTTACCTTCTCCGAATGCCAAATGGAGACAGGTGATAAAGAAGGCACTCATGCACAGGCTATGAAGTTTCTCCTCGAAATTAATTCCATCTTCAAGATTCCTATCTCTGAGATATACCCAGAATGGCACACAAATATGCTCCTGCCAGAGAGATTACTGAAGACTGACTTAGCATAAACATTCCCTACTGATGCACTTGTGAATGCGCTGGATAAAAAAAGTGAAGTAGTATATTCAGAACAGGCACTTTGAAGGTTTCATAATGATCCTTGACAATTCCTGGAACATGGATAAAATACAGGAACAGGGATTATCTATTAACAAGCCTGCTGTACAAACTAGATTTTCACAATAAACATTGTATCTTTCCCCACAACTAACACAGTATACGAATGACAGGATAACAGTAAGTTTGGCCCAAATCTAGTATCTCTTTAGTAACGGAGACTGCGATTTGATAATAAAGCAATAGACAGGATGTACACAAAAAGCACATCTACGATTTAAGCATATACAGATTAAGTGAGAAGCTTTAGCCTCCAACAAAATATGACAATGTTTAACAATACCCTTAAGGAATGAGTTCCAATGTTAAAACCTAAATGCTGCTTATTTATGTTGCCATAAAAACAGAGAACAAAGAAAATGCAATCTGATTTATTTGTAAAGTATATACTCTCTTCATAGTGAAGTTTCATGTTCAATGCACACTTTGGAATATTCATTCTTCCAATATGATTACCTCGTCTCATTACGTAACAGCTGGAAATATAAAGAGTTTGGATAGATAGCACAAGTTCACAGTCATTAGGAGAAACAGTAAGACAAGCAAATTGAATTGAAAACTCCCAATGTTGTCTTTCATTTGTAATTATAAAAAGCAAATTACAATACAAAAAAAACCACGAAACCGATGTTCGATTCTGAACAACATAAATTACCTCAAACACTTGTAGGCGAAGTAGTTGTGTCTATATTTCAAACCACTATTTCTGCACCAGTTTCCATGAACGGTGCAACAAAATAAACAAATACAGGTATTAATCCACCTAAGGACGCATGTGACACCGAAATAAAAAATCGCCCAGCTACTGAAACGAAAGCACACAGACGTCTCTCACACACGCGAAAGAAAATCTGTCCCGCTGATCTATAACAATAATGATGATAGTAACCGAGAACAGAAGATGCTGCAAAGCAAAAAAAAAAAAAGAAAAGAAAAACCCGAGGTGAAATCTAATGCAGTACCTGACGGGTGGCTTGTCGCCCAATACGCTAGCGGAGAAATCCATGCACTAAGCTGAAAAGTTCCAAAACAGCTGGTTACAGGTTTTATGCTAATTAGCCCGAAGCTTCAGAAGTCCCGCTGCAAAACTATGAACTACCTAGTGTGGCCTACTGTAGCCCCACTTATATTAATACGCGCTGAAGTGAACAGCGGCAGTGATCGCTCCTATGCACACGCAAACCCAGGCCCTCTGCAACCACTCACAGACCGTCTACAAACAATGCGAAAAAAAAAGTGGCTACATTCCTGGGCAACACCATTTAACTGTGCGGTAGTCAATATGCACTGCGTGGCCCCGACACTGTAACACAGTTATCTTTTCACGCTATACCTGTTACCCTAGCGTTAAGGTCCCAAATCTCTGATGTACTCCTGCCGACAAGGCAACACCGAAAACTTCTGACACGCAGAGTAGTAATCTCCAGCCCCAAAAAAAAACAACACCTTACCGCTACTTCAAGGCAACGTGCATTAAATCAAATACAAACAATCCGATCGTTACCGTTCTCTTCTTGAAGGGTCTTGCTGAAAGCTAGGCTTAGTGGGCGCCATCTTCCTGCTATTTTTTTTTTATTTCTTACTTTTTTTCTTCAGATAGATTTTGACCTACAGCCGTAAGGACCGACGGCAACGCAATCTGCAGACTACGGGTGTTCAGACAAAGCCATAGCGGTCTGCTGGTCCAGTCCTGTTCCTGGTTCTCCGCACTGCCGTTCATGGGCTTGAAGAATGGAGGAAGAGCCCCCGAGACCGAGCTCCAGAGGCATGCCAACAAAAGTGAAAGGAAACCGGGGGACGCTTTTGCAAACCGGGTGCTCTCGCAAGACAGTGGCCTTGGGCTGAGACAGTGGAAGAATTAATATCTAAACGGGAGCGTCATGTCACTGTATTTTCCTGCCGGAGCTCCTCGCCTCCGATGCTGTGAAAAGCCTTTTCTGTGTCTGTTTTTGTGTGGATTTCCCAGCTTTTCCTGGCTGACTCTGTGTGGAAAAGGACACATCTTCTCTCCTACCGGCGCAACAACGCCACTCAGTTGTAGTTGGAGACAGTTTTCATTTTCTATATTCATAGAGCGCGATGCTGAAAACTTCCATGGCTTTTACTGAATTGCTTTACATACCCTTTCAGATCAAATGCTCCGTATTGTCGCAACGCGTGAAAATATACAGGTAAAATACGAACCGCCTTCCCTTAAAATTATTTACCTTACAGTTCAGCGGGGAGAAAAAAAAATCAAGATGGTAAATTCCGGTTTAAACGCAAAATCACGCACCTTTCCTCGCAATTATTTTTAAAGTGTTGCGCATGATGAACAACGTGCATCCCTGTACGGAGAAAGTTACTCAAAACAATAGTGGGGCAAAACTTCTAAATAAAACCACATTCAGTCGTAATAACGTGAACAATGAAGAATGCGAACTAATGTATGACTTTTATCATACAAAATTATATTAAAAAGGGAAAATTGTCACCTCTGATACAAAAAGTACTGTAGCTTAGTTTTTTTCCGAAGTCTTTCTCAGCTCCGTTATCGTTAAATGTAAAGTAATAAATCCTTGTAAGGTCGTACAGATTAATTCCATTTGCTTTACAGAATAAACTTTTAAGTAGTTAGCTGTCCTATATCAACGTAACTTGATGGACATTCACATGGAAAATATTTTAACACAAGCTTTTGTTTTCCAGTATAATTTGATCTCAACTTTTCTTATCTATCACATTCTTTAAAATATAGTCTATTTTATTTATAAGTTGTGTTTTCAGTGAAAAGGATATCAGACTTTATTTCGAATACTGTACAGTTCCTTAACACCATCAAATTGCTAAATAAATATATTTATAGACTAATAGGCCCAATCGATGCTAAAAAATCTTACTGCTAACATATGCCATCAGAAATTAAACTAAACAATACATATTGTAAAGACAACTGATAATGATAAATGCAGTGATGATTATTTTCTCAAGCTGACTGATGTGAAACAATTTGACGTTTAAGAACTTGTAAAAGCCACGAATCTTGTGGTCGCTAAAGTATCCTTTAAACATTGTTTTCAACTTGGATTCATTAAAGTACTATAATAAAAACATTTAGAATGGTTTACTTTTTGTTGGTGTTTTGTTGTCCGTTTGTGGAAAACCCACCTTAAAATATGTTTGATCTCAAAATCTTTCGGCAAAGCCACAACACCAAGTCAAAATACCATTTATCGTACCATTACTATATTGCAAGTGCGTCTAGGCTATTTTTAATTGCCTTACAAATGATCATATTTCCAGCAAGAACACCTTATTTTTCTAACAGGTAAATCAACACATCTCAGGTTACACTTACATTTTGATACAGAAAAACATTTTAATTATTACTTTGCTAACCGATTAACATTTAGAGAAACAATAAAACTTCCCTATAATGTTTTAGACGACTCTTGTATACTATAAAGCCTTTTCCGCTAGCAGGACGAAACACATTATTTTATCCACGTTAAAACACATCTTCGTATTTCTTCAGGAGTATATTTATGTTAAACAACTCGTTATCAATGAGTAATCGTATTCTTCCCAATTCGATTTTTCTTTTCTATGCTACAGGGTGATATTTGGTGGCCTCTCACGACTGAAGTCCACATATCCATTTTTTGTCACAAGTTCCATAGAAAAGGAATATTTCTCGTGTCCAGGAGAAATGGAAAATGTCTTTTTAAGGACAGAAGCATGTAGCTGTATGGCTGTACTCCCTGTCTCTACTAGGATCTGATTTAAAAGAGGATTAATTGAAAAGCTCCTAGGAAAAATGTATGCTTAACTATAGCAAACAATATTCTTGTTTTTCAACATGCTCACGTTTGACAGTAACAGATCGCAAAAATGTTTTGTTATTAATTTATGCTAACAACTCAAGTTTGACGTTTTCCGAAATACAATTACAAGGATGTACACTGGCAATAAGGATCTCAGAAACAACATTTAGCTAAGCAAGTTCTCATTTAAAAGTTGCCACCCTATGCTTTTACTAAACCTTTTTTTTTAAAAAAAAAGCTCGTTAGAAAAATAAAATTGTCATTACAACCCGCTTCGTGTAGCAGTTCTAATTGCAAACATTTAACAGTGTATATTAAAATAACTGGTTTCTGGATTGCGGTCCGGATTTGTTGTTTTTTTTTATTGTGCAACCGTAACAGAAACCTCGTGTGTCAATCTGAGTACACTTGTCAATATCGCTAGTATGAACAACTCAAATGCACAGGATTACTGTAATATTGCGCTTTTGACAGGCACGTCATTATGTCACTAGTATGAAAGTAATCCACTTTCTTATCCTTAGATAAGAGCCGCTTCGATTTCTGCATGGTAGACAATGTAAACGCAATGTTTCCCATATATATATCTACTTGTGTTCGCAGATACCGCTCTGGCTAACGAAGTCCCGAAACTTGCTGGACTTTCTTTGTATAAAATAAAAATCGCACGGTACCATCGCCGCCCCAACATGTACGCTGTGGGTGAAATTAAACATAGTGCAGCTACAGTATGTCTGAGAGGATTGCAGGAAACACTGGACGGGAAAGTGGGCTCGACATACCTTTGCTGATAAGACGAGATCCCCTGCACGTTCTGCGGGCTGCCGTTTGAGGTGCCCGGGACTCTACTGACCCCGGGCGCGCCGGGCACACCACCGGCTCCCCCGGCCGCCGCTGCCGTCACCTGAACGCTGAAATCCGGGAAGATCCTGATCATCCCCGCGCCAGGAAAGCGAACACGCACCGAGTCTCTGTAGATATGTACACGAAAAGCAGCCTTCCCTCCAGCAGAACAAGTCACACCACAATCCCATTAGTGATGGTTACCAGCTCTTCAGCCATTCTACAGTACGTCTTGATTTCGGCGTGAGCGAGGAGGAACTGAGCTGCAGCTTGATTCAGGAGGTTGGCACTGACATTGACGCCACAGAGAACAGATTCGGTCGACCAAAATGTAGGGTCTTCTAAATGACATCAATTTGCGACAGGGCAGAGTCTGCGGGAACGTGAGTCCTGACTCTCTGATTTCTAACTGTACAACTTTGTGACCTTAAATGTTTGTGCAAAGTTCTAGCGTCCTATGCGTTGTACCCTGTCAATGAAGCAGGACTGCTGAAAAACCGCTCCACATCCCGTCGATGGCTTCAAGCATAAACAACACGCACTGTGTACACTACACAACGTTTAAAGACTTAACATTCAAGTTTTCATTCTGTCAAAGTGCGGATTACCTTATTGCTATGTTTTCACCACCTACTTCTTTAACCACGAAAAGCGATACTTCTACTGAAGCGGACGGGAGGTGTATTCTATCTGTTGAAGATGTCTGGTTTGCTGGTTAAAGTTCGGATTTTTAATATTACACCAAAGCAACTTGTTCTCTAAAACTGCGTTCCAGATTGCGTCTTTCCAGATTCACAGAAAACGCTTCTTCTACGGAAAAGTGCATTTAAACCTGATCTCCGCAACCTTATCTGCTCTTAACGCATTCTGAAGTTTGTTTTCCAGAAATACGAAAATAACTTGATTCACATACAGTAATGACTGTATGAAAAATGCATTTGGAAAAAAAAATGCTCTGAATTGATCACGAAGCAAAACATCCGACCGTGGTCCTAATTTGAACTGATCGATACAAAAGTTTTGCTTGTGCGCTGTGGTACTTTTTATTTTTTTTAAATCTAAGTTATTTCAGTGCTGCAGCCATCAGCTCCATCTTAATAAAGATGCCGTGATGTGACGTGCAACCCTGCACTGGAGAAAATGATCACAACAGTGCTGACGCATTCGTTTTTAACACTTAAAAGTGTTAGTAAGTTCTGTCCTTCTTCGGCTACGATTCCCAACTCGGGGGCTTCGCCCGGCTGCCGTATGCAGTGGTGCTGCTGTGGTCTCTCCTTTCTGAATGGTTTCTCTAAAGATGTAGTGTTATAATGTGCAGCGGTGCACTTGTAAATAGAGGCTGTTGCGGTGTGAATTCTCCCAGTGAAAGTGTTGTTATGTGCTCTGATGTGCAGCAATGCCATTCCTCCGCGAGTGTGAGGAGATGAACTTGGGCCGCAGCTGTGGCTGATGAACTGCCTCGCGCTGGCGAGCCCCAGAGCGCGCGCCTTCCCCTTCCCAGCCAATCAACGAGAGTGACAGGAGCGCGCGCCAGCCGCGGCGGCTGTAACCCCTTGTGGTCCGGCACGCTGCCGGCTTGGGCGGATGGCGATGGTGGTGATGCTGGGAGAAATGCTACAGCCCTCAACCGATCAACGTACACACACACACACAAAAACAACAAAACAAAACTTACGAGGTTCTTGGACGAGAAATCGTGTGATTCCACACACGGACACATGAGCTGTTTAAAAGCCTAAAAATCAGTCATTTCAAGTAGGTTTACACGTTAGAGACGTGCGTTTTAACAAGACACAGCTTATATCGTATATTAGTACTGGATTTTAATTAGACAAAGACAGCAGCACTGTAAAATACATGATAAGGTGCTATTTAGTGAGCACCTACTGTAGTTACAATGTGTTTCTGTAGATGTTTGTCTGAGACCAAACAATCGTACTATTATGCACATCAAATCCCCTTGTTATTTCCCTTGAATGTGTGATGAATCCACAGTACATTAACACAACACACATGTAGGCTGAAGCAATTTCCGTGCTCTGACAGAATCAAAAGCTGTGCAAGTCACTTCACTGGTGACTTCACCACTTTGCTCTGAGTCATTTGGACCCACAGCTGACATCTCCTCCACGGAGTGAGGCTGTTGATGGCAGAGTGCAGGCCCAGGACTCCCAGGTAGTGTCTCTGCAAGAATACGCCTGGTGTACTGGGACGAATATCTCCCCAAGCATCTCTGTCACTTTCATTTCAAGGTTCAAGATCAGAGTCTGTGTGTAACACCAGCTGGTGGAGGCAGGCTCTGCACAAGTCTCACCACTCTGCCCTCTCCACACTGGGCCTCCCTAGAAGGTCTATTCTCTCATGAATTATGCACACCTGATTTCTCTACCTACCTGTCTATATAAATACCTACTTGCCCATTTGATTTGTTAATTGACTGTCAACTTTTCGACTGTTGCAGCTCCATGCATTCGTCTTCATGCAATCCGTCATGCCCGAAGAAGACTCCACAGCTGAAACGTTGTGTTTCTTTTCTTCTCTCTTCAGCATGGAATAAACCTTTGCTTGTTCCTTTGCAGCCTACACATGCTGACACAGCTCCCTACTTGAATTATGTAGGTTACATTTCCTGTTTTTATCCGCGTAAGCTGTCATTTACTTGAGGGTTTCGTGTCTCTTTTTTTCATAGTTTCCCTTTTTGCAATCCAACTAAATATGTAATTAGTGGAAAAACAGAGGGGGTCCTGTTCAAATAGGCCCAATCTATCTGTTAGAGCACCATGGGGAACAGAGCCATCAAACTTGGGAGGAACTACAACTCCCAGAACCCTTCCCAGTCAGGTCACACTGCAGAAAAGGTGCAAGATCAATGATGCACTAGAAAACAGGAACCTAAATGTAGTCATCTAGTCTTCCCCTAGGTGGAGAGGTTTGCAGAGTGTGAGTGAGTTATTTACTGTTACATGATTGAAGTTTAGTAGGTAAAGAGTTGTCTTTGTTAATTTAGCAAATGTACAGTGTATGTGCTTCCAGAATGACAGATAAACATAATTACTGCTGGATTTGTTTTATTATATAGCAAATAATGTTTTAACCCTTAATATAACTTATAGTATGGTATACTTTGCATAAACTTAATTGAAAATAATTTGGTATTTTCACTTGAATTGGATTTTTATAGAGCATGATTAAGTTATTTAAAAATAAGGAACAGACACAGTGGAATTTGTCTGAAACTAGGGGCAACCTGTGGAGCAGTGGTTAGCGTTGCTGCCTTGCAAACACTGGGCCCTGGATTGAATTTCTGGTTTCCTATTTGCATTGAGATTGCATGTTCTCTCCGTGTTCACATGGGTTTCCTTTGGATGCTCCAGTTTCCCCCCACAGTCTGAAGATATAGTATGCTGGTGGGTTA